ATTTTTATTAATATAAAAGACATGTAAAATATATGTAAAATACATATAAAGATCAACACATAAATAAAGTTATTACACTTAAAGAAAGTTACAACCATTATATATGCAATTATTTATTATTTTTATTATGTTATTACAAAATAATTATGTTATAGGTATAGAATTATAATTAATACAAAAATATAAAAGAAACTTATATAGTATATATTTATTATATTATATTTATAAGACTATTATATATTTATTGTCCTCTAAATAATGTAAGTTTGTTTAAAAAGTGCCGTTGACTATTTGATTTTTGTTTATCTATATTATTTAAAGTTATATAATGTAGTCGAATTTTGACATATTTTTGAACAATGGTTCGAGTTAAATGAACAGCATGGTTTTCCATGCCAAACTGGTCATGTATGTGTTCATTCAAATCAGGGAATAAATTAGTATATATAAATTGTTGTAAAATTTGATTTGTTAAATAATTTCCATTAAATTTTTGTTTTATAAATGTTTTACTTTCATGAATAACACAACGAATTTCTGCTTCACATTTACGAGCAATTCTTATAACTTCATCAGAAGGTTGTGTTAGCCGTCCATAACTTTTTATATCTATTAAATTATTTTTTTTCGTTTGTGCTACTAGTACGGTCAAACAATTTTCGCATAATAAAGTTTTTTTTAATTGTCTTACAATATAGTGCTATTCTTTGGAAAACTAAAAAATACACAATAAAATATTTTAAACAACTATCATAAACATCAACTAATATTAAAGTTTCTTTAAACTTTAAATAAATACAAAATCTATATACTTAACCTATGAAATGTAACTTTTGGAATATTAAGTTTTTTTCAATTTTGGCAATCTGAACGATTTTTGCAATTTGGTACGTAACACTGCACCATTTTAATTTAATAAATAGTCCTATACTTTTAATTGTATTTCTATTATTTTTATATTTTTGTATTTTCACTGATTCTCGCAAGATACATTAGCGTTCTTTATAGCTGAATTGGTTGAGTTTATCTTTTTCCTTCCACACACTGGAAGTCGCACGATACTTACATCGCGCTTGCGCAAACTAATAGCCAATCAAATTTAGGCACACTTTACCTCGTCGCACCGTCCCGCAGTAGCTTCCCCCCCGCAACGATATGCTCGGTCTCTATATTCCTATGTCTATGGCCATGTGCGATACGCATGTCACGGTGCGCGTGCGCAAGCTCATGACTCATGATATGGCGCAGTGATACAAACTCGAGCCTCCTGCATCACAGCATCGTGAGGGGAAGCGCCCTCAATTATGAGATTATGCGTCAAGCGGGAATCGCTACGTCACGTATCCGTGTGGTGGTCGGCGGCCGATTAGTCCGTGGCCGCATGATGAGGGGCGCTTCCCTGCTGAAGGCGGAAATTTGCTAATATAGGTTGTTTTCCAGCAAAGGAAAAGTTGACACAAGAAACAAGTTGACACAAATCGACACAAGTATCACTCTGTCTTTGTTCGATATTCAATGAGCAACAGAGAGAATAATACTTTTGTGTCGCTTGTGTCTCTTGGTGGAAAACTCATTGATGTTTTCCAGCAAAGGACACAAGTTGACACAAATCGACACAAGTATCACTCTGTCTTTGTTCGATATTCAATGAGCAACAGAGAGAATAATACTTTTGTGTCGCTTCTGTCTCCTAGGTGGAAAACTACCATAGCTACAGGAAGCAACCCGAAAATGGTGGATATATACAGAGCTGCCAGTTTTCCCCGGAGAGCTCCATATACACACAACCGAGACCCGCTGACGTCACGTGTCCGTGTGCGCTCGGCTGTTGGTCTGGTAGAAGTGAGCGGACCTATGTTTTGTATCTCCTTTTCACGAAGCCTAGCATCAAACCGGTTTTGAGGCTTGCACGATTTCTTCTACCAAGCGTTGGCAGCGAAAATGCTTTCCCGAATTTCGCTCCACGCGACTAACAATAAGTCGACTAGCGACGTGTTGCTTTCGCTCGATGCAATATTTTTTCTGAGATTTACAGTCTTTTATAAAACACATGTCATATTTATATTAATAAAATATTTTAACATTATGTATCTGCAAAATATGATTTTTCACGTTAATGTATAAAATAAGAATAAAGTAATAAATATTATATATCGTTAATAAATTTTCTATTATAATAAAAAATTATGTGTATCGCAATATAAAAACAAAACAAGTAATAATTTCTACAATTTTAGTAGAAAAACATTTTTCTATTAAAACATATTAACATAAGTTAATTGCGACGAAAATAAGCTTTATGCATATTTAATATACAGGATGTATAAAAAGTACCGGAATATCTCGAAAAATATAAGTTTTATAAAAAAATGTTTTAGATAAAAATTGTAGGATTAAAAAAATCTATTTATTGATCTTATCAGTTTGACTTTAGGTGAAGTTACTTCGGAGATTTGAAAATCATCTTCATTTTTTAAAATAGAACCACCTTAATTTTTTAATATAAATCGATTCCTCGCAATGTTTGGCGTAACAAGTTATAAAGGTAGAATGGCCAAAAATTAAATAGTTTACGAGATATTTTATACTTTAATTAGACATAATTTTACACAAACTATGAAATATCTCGTTAAATATTCATTTTACAATTATGTTAATATAAATTACATTAATTAATATTTTAACTTTTTAATTGCGCGCGTTCTGAGGCTTCAAGCTATCGTATGTTCACATTCGACACACCATGTTATGTTACAACATAATCAATGAAATCAGTCGACTGCTTGCTACCGTCGAGTAAACACGTATTGTATGTCCGCCGAAAACACGTGTTTCTTTCTTCGAGTAATTCTCACGCGTCGAGTAATCATTAAATAAATTCCTCGTTTTATCGATGAAGTGAGTGAACAGAGTGTGTAAATGTGTTGTGTTTTGAAACGTGAAACGTGAACAAAAGAAAAAATTTTTCTTGATATGGATCTGTCTTATCGCGGGGAAGAGAGAGAGAGAGAGAGAGAGAGAGAGAGAGAGAGAGAGAGAGAGAGAGAGAGAGAGAGAGAGAGAGAGAGAGAGAGAGAGAGAGAGAGAGAGAGAGAGAGAGAG